GTGGGTGGTGTTGACGGCATTTGAACTCAGGAAGCCTTGATCATTGTTTTAATAATCCAACCACCGCCGTCCGAATTCTTATTCATGTACAGTTGAATAAGGCGAATTTCCGGAACACCGGTAAGTGAGTGTGCATATCCGCAGTTGAAAAACCGTTGCTGATGTGAGACCGTGTAGTCTAAGCAGACGTGATTGACTTGAAACAGTCAATTGAGAGGAAAAAACATTGAAATGTTGGATCTCCTATAAACAGTTGTTAATTGATTTCACCTATAAATATTTGAATTATGAACTCTGAATGCGCCGGTGCCGGTGGTGCCATTGTTGCTTTTGATAGTCTTCGCGGAGGGATTCGAATACATGACCGTCTCATCGATATGGCTAGGATAAGTGCCCGATTAAGTACCTCGGAACAAAAATACTTAGAAATGGATGTACATATGTCATACAAATAAAAGCTGATGATCAACTGTGGCTAACTAGAGTGTGAACATAAATGCTCAGTGTTTAGCTTGTGTGTGTTTTTTTAGTCTCTTCTGGGCAAAATGAACTTTCGTCACAATAAAAAGCATGCAAATATTTATGTATAAATCATTCGAACCTATCTTTCCAGATCTTATCCTACAATCGATAGTTGAAAAATTTCCGCTGATGGAATTTAATGTGTATAGTTTCAAAATCGAGATTTTGGATCTATTTTGGATAGCACGTGGCGAAGCAAGTCACTGCCATGCAAGATGAATGTAAACTGTTTAAACAGTCAATGTCAAACATAGACTTTTATTAGGGTTACATGTTTTAGAGTCTGTCTCTTTGTGCTCCCAGTTACCTGTCACCATCTGATGAAGGGGCAGGTGCTTTTTTGTGAATGTTCGCACAAGCCCCAAAAGCATCATTCATTGAACGGCGTAAGGCGGATTCGACACATAGCTGAAGTCAGCTTTTGTTTGCCGCCTTCCCCAGTTGTTCAGAGTGACGTTGTGCCGTATGTAACATGGATGCGGATAAAAAGTCGTTCACCAACAGATTATGGGTCAAAAACCAACGGGAAGAAGGATAGAGAGAAAAGGCATATTTTGCAGTGAATATCGACTGAAGCCGGTCTAGGTGGTGAATAGGAACAATTCTTCAGGTCTTATATACATTGAACTTGCAATACCGACTCGGGATACCATTTCATTTGTGTCCTGTGCGAGATAAGGGCTAACTAAACTTTAGGAGAACATTTGGGGGTACTTTCAGCTACTCGTCATCACGTGATTAACGAAAGATGGACTGAAACATACAGTCACAGAAAAATGACTTGGTTATTTTGAAAAGTTGGTTCTCGTAGCTCGGGTGATCTATTTGGCCTGTTCGCCGAGCTTGGTCACTTCACAAGCACTGATGATATCACCTCGGCTGATGATGAAACAAACAAAAAATTGCCAAAGTCGGCGAACAGGTGAAATAGAATTTACTTGATTGTTCCAACATGGCATACAGGTCGTGGTATGATAAACTATATCAAGATCGATGTCATATTGAGTCAGGGAAAATGAACCAGTTCTTAAATTGATGAGTTGGAGACACGTCAGTCTGTGTTCCGAGAGAAACCAGAGTAATGAATACAAATAGATGTAAAACACCGAAATCAGAGTGTGCTTGCTTTGACTTCCAACAACACTATCCTCCATGAGTTTCTCTGTGTCTGGACTCCAAACTGATGTAATGTTGACTTTTGTCGCCCAAATTGCTCCGAAATGTGTGTTCCTTGATTAAAATGGATCTATAAAGCATGAAGTGCGTGCATATTCTTTCAAAAAAAATATATCAATTAAGACAAGCTGCTCGATCCGAGATATGTAAGAGTTCCCTTGTTTTATCCCGATGCACCTTTCAACGCCAAATGGATAAACGACACAATTGGAATTTGTCGGTTAAATCAATACGTGCTCTACTTTGTTGGGCGTTCAATAATGGCTTCATATTAGGTGGTCTCAGCTTAATTTCAAATTGAACCATCATTTTCCAAAAGGTAGCGTGAGGAAAAAAACGGCTAATCTGCCTGGAATATTCGCCATGTTGGTTGTATGCAACGTTTCTTCGATGCGATCAAATTCAACTATCGTCTTGCTTCAATGTGATCGGTTTTCTCCCTCTTGATTTATGTCTTGATGGAGAAATTCCGTGGATTGTGCAACAAATTGGGCTTATGTTTACGGTGAAGCACTTGCACTGAAACTCAGAAACTGAGTCCTCGGATTTATTTGCCTCTCTATTGAGTTCTCTCTCGTCTTCAATAGATGCCAAAATTTCTTCAATGTTTCATCCGGTTTGGGCATGGTACCAGTACAAGACGAGTATTCGAAGAGCCAAACACCGCAAGGTCAACTTTCGAAGATCAACTTGTGTTTTTCTTGGGCTATATTTTCAGTTCTTTCAGTATTGTGGATGATGCGTGAGTAGTTTGTAGCCAAATAATTTATCAATTTATTTAAGTTAGTATATTTTCATTAATTGGCTTATTTACAATACGCAGAAGAGATATACAATTTAGAATAACTGTGTTCAGCTAAGTAATCATTTTAATTAAATAGGAATCATTCATTGGAAAAAATGAATTTCCATAAAGCTTTGCATAAAATATTTTTCAAATCTGAGTTGTAACTTTTGATCTACTTCAAATGATATCACGACACTCAAGGTCGCACAAATTCAAACGGTGATAGAAGAGAAATAACACAGAAGTTGAAGATAAAGCCGGAAATAAAAATACCTTACCCATAGCCATCATCATACAGTATGATATTGGAAACTGAAATGTAGTTCCAAAATGAGAATAATATTGTACGTGTTTGATTGACACCTGCATAAATTGATTTTCGTGAACAATAAACTCTTGTCAAATGAACATGATCAATGCAAGTTGTAACTTTGTCCTGAAATGAATAAGCCTCGTTCAATCCGTTAGATACTTCTGTGCCTCACTTCTAATGCACCTCTGAAAGAATTGCGACGGATTGACAGCCACACACCTTGGATCAGAACAACTGAAGTGAAAGGCCCGGGTCGAAGGACTTTGATGGCTGACTAGAAAAAACGGAATAGACAAATTGTCGCTTGTCGTAGAATACAGCGTTTAAAACAGGCTGGGATTCGATTTTTACATTGCGCAGTAAGTGCCTAATAATACGCTTACAAATGCTGATGCTCTATCACGTAGAACCGGCCTCCTTTGGACAGTACACGTCTGAGATAAATAGACGTGACTTCACAATACCCCTATTATGTCCGATTTCATAGAGAGTCTTGTCCTAGGAGACATAAGGAGGCGTAGATAAATTTTATTTTGTTAGTGGTGGCAGTCCATAGTTTGGTTTTGCCAATCCATAATTTTGTTTTAGAAAATTCTGGTTTGAATAGGCATGACGTGAGTCACTTTGCGATCACGTTCGGGTTTGTACTGGGAATTTAAACGATTGATATCCAGTTCCTATTCTCGGCACCATCAATGAGCTCACTTTAGGCTGTTTGGAATGTGACCTTGGGTGCGCGAAACGTACCATAGATGGTTAAGTATAACTAAACAGATTTGGCAGCGAATGCATTTTGAGGACACCTTAAAAAATAAATTGCGGTTTGCAACATCTTTTATTCATTCAAACAAATACATCTCATCCCAAATTCAATTGAAAAGTTAATGTTCTATAAGGCACGTGAAGTGCTGGATTAGTTGGAAAACGTTTACAAAACCTCATTCAATAAGAGTTAAATGTGTTATTCTCTTCACATTCAATAAAGAAGATATTTTATTCAGCCCTGAAACTGGAATAACTGTTTATATAAGTTTTGCTTACAGCTGGGTAAGTGAGTTCCTTGACATCACGAAATTTCAGGTGGAATGAGAACACTGCTTTGGTATGTCTGAAAATAGTTTTTCAGATTTGCCTGTTTCCCCACCCTTTGTGAGTATTCTCTCGGAGAGAAGTTTATACCAGACGATGGTCACAATCTACATCAAGCCCCACTTTACTCTTTCTATAGCTTTGTTTTATGCGATAAAGAAGTATCTAACGAATTCTCCAGATAGAGCCGATTGTTCCAACGAGTTTCTTTACTCGTTCAAACCATGTGTAGTTTCTCGAGGTGACATTTTATGAAAATATAAAGGTATTTCAGGTTTTTCGTTTAAATCACCGAGAACTGAGCGAACTATTTTCCATTGTTTTGATGTGTCTGCTTTTCCCAGTGCAACCAATTAACAACGAGCTTTCTTTCTCGTTTTGACCTAAAGACGTGAAATTGATATGCCTCATTTGGATGATTGATTGGAGTGATCGGATCATGTGGTACGAATCAATTTTAAGGCGCTCTAACCAATGCTCGTGTGAACGAGAAGCCTACACAGAAGTCAAACTGCCGAGACATGGTTGACGGCAAAACTCTTGGGGGAATGGATACAATAGTTGAGAATATGACATTTAGATGAGATATTCAGCGTTACAAATGATCTTTGTTTTGTATTTGGCTGAGGGTCTCACTTCTTGTGCGTTCGTTTATTTTCATCAGTTTAAACGTATTTTATTTACTAAGGTAGCTACTATTATTGTGATTATTATTATTAGTACTGCTTCCTAACCTCAAGATTGCGGTTTGAATCCTAAAAGGAACGCAGAAAAAATGTACTACTGTTGTGAGATACTACTCACTTGTGAGTAGTCGGTAACTTTTAATGATTAAAAATAGAACAAGACCATGCAGGACCAAGTAATATATTTGGGAAGAATAAACACTGCCTGCTATACCCATTGCCCCATGTGTCGCGATGTGCTGCGAAGGCATGTTTCTGATGAGCTTTTCGTGCTATGCATCCAAAATTAGTGACCCTCCATCTGTATTCTGCAATAAGAAACTCTCCTCGATCAGCACCGCCTTTTCGGAATATAGCAATTGGTGCCGTCGCCAGGATCAGGATGAAGGTTCCTTGGCCAGCAGCCTTCGAGGTTGGGGGTGTGCGGATGTTCCTGGAGGAGTTCGAGGATGTGGCGGAGTTGGCCGGAATACGGACGGATCGCGGCAAGTTGACGGCCCTCCGAGCGCTCCTCAAGGGTCGTGCGCGGGCGGTGTTGGACGCGGCACGAAGAGGCCCGGAGAAAATGGAGTGGGCC